GAGAATGAATTATAATGAAAAGCAAGCTACCAGTAATGATAATAGAAAACAGAAGCATAGATTAACACACGGTCCTCAGTTATCAAGGGACCACTAAATTAACTGCGGAATGGGACTTTCCCAGATCGTTCAGTCAAAATAAATCTCTTTGTCCCTTATTCTGTCACTTGATTTATCCGCAACACAATATCATAACCCATCATGTTTGTAAATTTAAGTTGTAGCATACTCTGTGGCAGTTAGTAAGCTAGCACTCCATCCATGCTTTACCGCGTCAAGGCTAATTTCTCTTTGTTGGGAACTGTAGTTTCTGGTGCACTGAGCCATCTACTCTTAAAAAAAAAAAAAATCATTATCTTCTACTGCAATTTATAAGTCAGTTTGGAGAGAATATTCTTTAAAATATACCAAAAAAATGCATCATTTTGAATATATTAATTATACTTGCAGAGTCCCAAAAATGTGTCAGTGTGCCATTAAGGAAAAGAAATTCAAAAGCACCTCCTCTGGAGGAATTAAACCAGGAGTGAGCCCAGACTTGAACCCTACGCTTCCCTGTGCCTTCTATAATTCCCTGTCGGTTGTATGCGTCTGGATCCGTGCCTCATGAATGCTGCCCTGTCTTGCCTGTCCCTGCCTCTCTCTCTGTGTCCCTCTGCACAGAACGTTGTGTGGTATTTATTGGACACAACAGAAAGTACCGCGTGGGGAAGGAATGAGCAACACTTTACAAAATAGGGACAAAGTCTCTAAACCCCGCTGGCCCAACCACCCCAGATGGCAAACAAAGGCCCTCATTCAGTGCCCATGTGTTGTCTTTAACATTTATGGTGGATATCCATTTTATAAAGAGACTTTGAACCCGTTGGCTGTTTCCATGATATACTGTCATAGCATACACACACACACACACACACACACACACACACACACACACACACGCACGCACGTGCGCACTCACGCACTCACTCACACACGCACACACCCGCACACAACACACGCACGCACACACGCACACAACACATGCACGCACACACACGCACTCACTCATGCACGCGTGCACACACACACACAACACACGCATGCACACACACAACACATGCATGCATGCACGCGTGCACACACGCACGCAGTATTTGAAGGCAGTGGTATGAAAGAGTACTTAATATTATAGTTCTGTAGCCTGGTGTCATGGCACATGTCTTTAATCTGTGAGTCTGAGGATAGCCTGATCTACACAGAGAGCTGTTGGCTAGCCAGGGCAACACAGTGAGACCCTGAAAATCAAAACAAAATTTCAGCTATGTTCTCACTTCTGTGTAAGGTAAGTGCATGGAAAACCCAAGGCGAATAAGGTGGGCTGCACATTGTTCTCTCGAGGAGAGGTTAAAGGGATAGACTTCTTACACAGAAGGAGAGCGGTCTTCCATGACCTCAAGGTGCATTGTTACCTCTAATTGTAAGAACCAGCAAAATCTTGAGTCGCTTGGAAGTTAAGAGATATTTTCATAATAAAAAGTCACCAATTTGGGGGTTAAAAAAATTCTGCCACCTGGGCCGTCTATGGGGCCTCTGGCAGTGGAACCAGTATTTATCCCTAGTGCATGAATGGGCTCTGGGAGTCGATTCCCTAGGGAGGGGTACTCTCTCAGCCTACATACACAGGGGAGGACACAGGCCCTGCCACAAATGATGTGACAGACTTGATGACCCCCCCATGGGAGACCTCACCCTCCCTGGGGAGTGGGTGGGGGTTGGTGGGGGTCATGGGATAAGGGAGAAGGAACTGGGATTGGTATATAGAATAAGATAGTTTTTAACTTAAATAAAAATTATTTTTTAAAACCTGCCAAATAATTGTTTGGTGGTCTGCAGGGGACTGAATTCAGCGTCCGTCCGGTCATGCTGAGCAAACGCTGTACCTTTCAGCTAAAGTCCCGCCCTTCTTGATTTGTTTATTGTTTGTTTATTGTTTGAAATGGTGTATCACTACTTAACTCACAGTAGCACTGACCATCATAGTGTGTAGCCTTGAAAAGATGATTCTCCTGTGTTAGCGCCACAAAGTGTGCCCACCAGTGTTATTCAATTTTATTGACATACTTAAACCTGCTAACACTATGAATGCTCATAATCATAATATCACCATAGTAACAGCATTAGGGGTTAATATTCGGGAGGAGCACAGTGCTGTCTTATCTATAAATGATCTCACTCAAGAGGCTGGTCAGATGCCTCTGTTGGCCAAGCACTTGCAACAGAAAAACCAAAGTCCAGTCCTCAATACTCATGTGCAAAAAAGAGCTGGGCCTGGGCTGGCCAGATGGGTCTGAGGGTAAAGATGCCCATTGCACAGGCCACATGGCCTGCATCCCTCAGAAAGTTTACAGAGGAAGGACAGAAGTGACCCCACAACCATGGACACACAAGCAATTCATGGACTCAGTGGGGTGTAGATGGAAGGAAAGGAAAAAACAACAGAAAATAGTCAGGACATTGGGGGGGCCCAAGGGGACATTGAAAGCGTGAATGAGGGGGGCTATATAATCAAAATATACATATACATGGAATTCTCAAACAATAAATGTATTGCTGTTTAAAAATTGTTCACTGCCTTCCAACATGTACCATAGCATGAATGTCTCCTGTAAGCATGCACAATCACACACATGCATGTGCACACACACACTCAGTAAATACATGTTTTTAAATCTGGGCATTGTGGCTTTCATTTGCAATCCTAGAGCTGTGCAGGCAGAGAAAAGCAAATCCCTGATGCTCACTGGCAAGCCAAAACAGCAGTTGGTGAGTTCAGGTCAGAGCCATGCCTCAAAACAGCAGACTGAGAAGGTATGCACTGGGAGGCATACAGTGCACACAGTGTGCAGTCCACTCCCAAACACATGTGGGCCTGCAATACACACATGTGAACACGCACATGAGTGTCACTGGAGATCTGTTACACCAATCTAAGACAAACTTCATTTTACAAATAAGAAAACCGGGAACTAAATAATTTATCCAATGTGATGGTGGAAAGAAAAAAACAAAATTCAAACTTTTTGTTGTTGTTTTCCAGGCAGGGTTTCTTTGTGTAGCTCTGGTTGTCCTGGAATTGCTCTGTAGACTATGCTGACCTTGAACTCACCGAGATCCACCTGCCTCTGCCTCCTGAGTGCTGGGATTAAAGGTGTGCTTAAAATTCTAACTCTTAACAATGCTGTATTCTACTTGCAGTCTGCAATGGTTATAATATATACATACACAACGAGACCCTAAGAAAGCACTTTTAGTCATTAATTATAGCAATAATAAACTAACTATAAATGCTATAATCTAAAACCAATCTTACAAAATTACCAATATAACAATGACAGTGTATGAACAGATTTCAGGGGTTAAGCGTCTCTAAGTAGCCCACAAGGACATGGAGAGAAAGCTCAGGGCCCAGAGCCGGTAGCAGTGTTATAGAGAACCCAACCCCACTTCCCAGGAAAGGACAATAACTGCATGCTTCCTGGCTTTTCAAATTTTAATTTTAGTCATTACTACATAATTCAACAATGTGACATGTTGTTTATTAGTTAGGTAACTAATGTGGCCATTAAAAAATCAGTTATTTTTATATATCACACAACGACACAAAGTCACAGACAGCAAGATATCATCTTGCCACCTTTTAGGACCTAAAAAACAGTCCAGGATTATTTAAAGTTTCATAAAAAAAAACTATAACAATGAGTGAGACAGACATCAATCCTTCTTTCCATTCAATTTTCTATTTACTGTGCCTCAGATTGCCAGATGCGTCATGTTGGTAACAAAAATTAATTCGGAATAATTGAACTAGTTTTAAATCTAGCAGAGGAATACTGTCCCCAAAGGGGAACATATTTCTCAAAGCACCCTGCCTGCTGAAAACATAAAACCCTTCATAATAATTTAAATTATTTTATAACTGATATAAAAAAGTGACGTGTTCCTTTTGCCCATGTAGGTAAAAGTTTGTATAATCAATCATATGCATTTGGCAATACATTCTGACAGATAATACGCTATTTTCAAGGATTCAGAAAAAAATGGGGGGGGTATGTTAAACAGATGTCCCGGTGCTCAGGGACACTCTCTGTACCGGGCTCAAATGGCTCGTAACCTGTAACTTATCAGCAAGGGCTGGAGAGATGTCTCGGGGGTTAAGGGCATTGGTATAAAAGCCCGTGCTGGAAATATGCTGTCAAGCAGTTTTCTCTACTCATGGCAGGAAGGCTCCCAGCAGCTGTACCTGAATGCGTATGACCTGAATAAGACGGAGACGGCTCAACACTCAGCACAGACAGGCAAGAGCCGTGGAGTTCTGAGGAGATCCTTGCAACAGCTGAGAGAGGAGGATCGGTTTACTTCAAGGCAGCCCCTACAGGCTGCCCATGTCCCACTGGATGGTCACGGCCACACACACACACTACCACGCTGCTGGACTCAGCGGGTTTGAAAAGGAGGACGCGACACTGGGAGAGGGAAGCAGGTGCCACAGCTACACCGAGAATGGGAAAATGAGAGATGCTAAGCAAAGACACCAGTCAAAGAGGCTTTTATTAACCGTGACAGAATCGATGTTTCAGACCAAACCCACTCCCTTAACTGCAGCCCTGTCCAAAAAGCAATCTCACCTACCACTGGGCATCTCTCTGTAACTGTCAGTTATCCCAAAAGTCAATAATCTCCTGTCAAAACCCTATCTGCAGTGGTCACTTTAAAAATGAAAATAGATGTGCTTTTACTAAATGTCTTGTAACAAGTATGCACCCCATATGAAGTGAGAAAGTAGTATTTTCAAATAAGCGTATCACAGAATTTTTAGAGTTCACACAGTCATATATATATTTATATATATGTATAATATACATACATACATACATACATACATACAAAACCTTAAAAAACACTGAGGCTGGAGTGTGTTCTTTCGGTGAGCAAACATGGGCATCAGTGAAAGCGATTACCTGTGCACTGCCCTCCGTTGGTGGGGTCCCCGTAGTACCCCGGCATGCAATCCTGACACTGCTTCCCAGTGGTGAGATCTTTGCACTGCTCGCACACATTGTCACTGACGCACGTGCTGTGTCCGTTACACTGGCAAGCTGAGGAGAACAGTGAGACATGTCACAAGCAGCTAAATAACGACATAAGTACCCAGCCCGAGGCAGATGTTACCACTAAAATCCCAGTCGAGCAAAGACAAAGAGCTTGGCCCAGCTTTTAAATACGTCACACAGGCAGACAAGAGCATCAGTCGGACGTGAACCGTGAACGCGCCTTCTCGTACGGTCAGGACTGACCGCACTGTTTGTGAGACGTAGGGGTAGAGGCGGTGTGCAGTTCCACAGGTAATTAAGGAGTAATTTAACATAATCATTAAAGGACCATACGAATGTTTTGTCCATTAAAACTTGTAAAAAACGAGATGAAGTAATATAGGTTTTGATAAAGGATGGCAAGTTCTTAATACATCATAAATATATTTATACTTAATAACAAACTATAAGTACAGAAAATTATCTGGCAATGGAGCTTTATTTTGAGAAAATGGATAGTAAGGGACTCTTTCAATTTGAATAAAATGTACCTTTTTGTTTCAGTTTTTTGAGACAGGGTTTATCTGTGTAGCTCTGGCTGTCCCAGAACTCACTTTGTTGACCGGGTTGGCCTTGAACTCACAGAGATCCTTCTGCCTCTGTGTCCTGAGTGGTTGGATTAAAGGCAAGTGCCACCACCACCCAGCAAGGAATATCATTTCAGTGAGTGGTGGCAAACTTAGTTCAGCAAGATATTTCTGAATCATCAGTGGCCAACAATAAACATGGAGTCCTTAGTCCTTTTACAATAAAAACACCAAAATCTCTACTGTTATGCTTAAATGGTTAGGGGAAACATTCATAGATTTATGCCATATACATAATTAACTCACTCTGGTTAAAAAAAAAAAAAATGGGTACCCACTCCACATAAATCGCCAGAGGAACCAAACTAAGAAACAGGATAGCATTGCTTTGTGGGATTTCAAACCACATGGAAACATTGTCAGACCATAAGCACTTGCTTCTGAACAAGAAGGGTGAAGCAACTCTCACAGCTAATGTGCCGTACAGATTATGACTGCAATATCAGAGGCATTCCTACAACAGCAGCAATTAGGGTGTGGGCGTTAGATAGGTTCACAAAGAGCACAGGAGTGATCAATACCACCTCCTAGCATCAGAAGAACACCACTGGCCAAATGCCAATCAATCTCTGCTGTCTGAATGACAAAAAATCCAAGGGCAGCCTAGAAGCCTGCTTCATGAATCCAATCCACCTACGAAGAGGCTGTGATAGAATTAAACTCAACTGCAGGGGGAAATTGCCGGGACAGAGGGTGCTAGCAACTGTTAAAGCTTACAACTAACATACTACTGATGGCAAAGGGCAAGGCATACTGTAAAACGCTGGACCCCTGCGTACCAGCTGCACCAAACACAGAAGAAGGGTAAGCTCTTAGGCCTACGCTTTGATTAACACTCGCACCAGACAGCATCAAGAGGTAACATGATCTGACACTGAGTAACTCTGCCAGGATAATTGACATTTTAAATGCTCTAATATCAGCATACCTATAGAACACAAATGAAACTAAAGACAATCCATCTATTTTATTTTTCTACATTTTAAATCTACCCCCAGATGGCTCCTTATTTATGGAAACACAAACAAAAAAAAATCAAAATAAAACATGATGACAAATTCATCATTTGATATGCAAATAATGCACAAAGCTCTGAAAATATGGGCTCTCCATAAACAGATGTGCAGCATTTAAAAATATCTTCATGACATTATTAGTAAGTTTCCAACATGTTTACACAGAAATTCAAGGGGGAAAAAAAACTTACCCACAACTTTTTTCAATATATAGCCTACCTTCGAATAAAAAGAAATTGTCAGGTACTAAAATGGTGCACAATTTGAAAACAAGAGTTACAAAGGCTGAGTTAAAAGGAAATCTGTACTCTACGTAGGACAGACAAGCAAGTATCAGCAGGCTTGGGTTCCAAATCTAGCTAAGGCCAGGAAATGTAACTGCTGCCCCCTTCCAGGGAGAAAGAGAAACTGAGTCACGTTTGTAAACTGAAGTTGCCAGCTGCATCCGAGCAGAAGGACAAATTACCAAAGCACACCATAAGACAAAGAGGAAAGAGTCTGATGCGGCACTGGCATCTATGTATGGAAGGAGAGAGCCACTTAAAAACTTAAACTTTCACTATGGGTGGGAACATGGCAAAGGAACTCTAAATCCAACACGCACATAAAACACTCTCTGCCAATGGTCTCTGGGACCTCACAAAGGCAGCTCAGAACTGTAGGGAGCCGTCCCTGCATTCTCCATTACAATGGCGCCTGCATCCAGCAGGCACCGAATGGTTAAACAAGCTAGTGCGCAGGCCCTGGGTAACTTTCCATCCCTTGGTCTCTGCCTCTCCCATGGTGTCACATGGGCTGATGGGCTGCAGCCAATCAGGAGGTGACACATCCGAGGCAAAGGTTGTAAACCTATATAAGGGTTGGATTTTGGATGTTTGGCGTCTCCGCTCTGTAAGCTTATGCTCTCCCTCTCAAGATGCATTAAAGCTTTACTGCAGAAGGATCCTGAGTGTGCCTCGTCGTTCTTGCTGGCGAGACGGTAGCGCGGGACACAGAACGACCCTTGGAATACACCTACAACTCAAACCATGCAAATATGCCATACAATAAACCATTTCCTTCACTGTTAAGTACAGTGATACATTGTTTATGATCCAATAAACCTTGCCTGGAGATCAGAATGCAAAGCCAACCACAGCCATAGAGGCCAGGTAGTGGTGGCCACACCTTTAACACCAGGACTCAGGAGACAGAGGCAGACGGATCTCTGTGAGTTCAAGGCCACTCTGGGTGAGAGTGAATTAGTCTCAAAGAGAAACAGAGCTCACGCCTTTGATCCCAGCACCAGAGAGAATGCCTGAACACAGCTCTGTCACTGTCCTAAGGCATTAGATCACATGTCTCCTCCACCCTGAGGATGCTTTCAGGAAAACTACTTTGTATTTGAACCAAAGGGCACTAATTGTGTTTCGTGCCTACATCCCATGCAGGTTTACTTTAAAGATTCTCTTTCTCTGGTGTTTTGAAATTCCTGTTGAGTGTATGCAGAACTTTCCACTTCACCCTGCCTTTGACCCCTGCTGTTCCTCGAATCTTCATCTCTGTTTATCTCTCCTGAACGCTGAATTGCTTCTTACTGATAATCTTCTTCATACTTTGTGGATTCTGTCCTGCATGTTTTACCTACTTAATGCACTCACTGGCCTTCAACTCCAATAACTACATTTTTCCTTTCTATGAGATTCCTTTGACTATAATTCTAAAACTGGTGTGTGTTTTTCAAATTTATAGAATTTTATATTTATATAACTACAAAAATATAACAAGTTAATTCATACCAAATGTTAGTATCTTAACCCAATATTTAGCAAAATTAAAAAGCATTAATTAATAGTATAGCACTATAATCAAAATTATAGATGTTAGTTGAACTTTACAACTTTGACAAAAATGCCCTATCTTGTTTCATTACTCTGTGATATTATACTGATTTTATTAGTATATATTAATTATCTATAACAAGGGAGTTTATTATACATTTTCATACATATAAAGATACTTTGATCATATAACCCACCTTACCCTATTAGTCCCTCCACTCACATAGCTCCCTCCCTCTTCCCAAATAATCCCCTTCTACTCCACACACGTGTGTGCATGCGTTTTGCGTGTGTGTGTGTGTGTGTGAGAGAGAGAGAGAGAGAGAGAGAGAGAAAGAGAGAGAGAGAGAGAGAGAGAGAGAGAGAGAGATGGAGACTTAATTTCAAATGCTTTGTTTCCTGGTTTGACCCATGTCACACTTTCAGACTGACTTTAATATAACTCCATTTCCTCTCTCTCTCTCTCTCTCTCTCTCTCTCTCTCTCTCTCTCTCCCCACAGCCCATGTTTATGTAAAGTTTTTTTCTGCACCCTTGCACTATACAGTAAAGAACATTTTTTTTTTTTGCAAGATAATAGTCAAAGTCCAAGTCTGTATGAGAGAGAGGGGGACAGACAGAGAGAGAGAGAGAGAGATCACTGCACAGTCAGATTCATTTCTGACAACTTGCATTCCATTACGCAATCCTCTTAAGTGGAATGGCTTTATATATATAGTAAATTTCACATTTTGTGGTATATAGGTATGAATTCCGTTTCCTTTTGCTTTGAGGTACTAGGCACTGAGTCAACAAGGTGTAAATAAATGCTGGGCAGGGATGTAGCTCTGAACGACATCCCAAGAACGCCATAGGGATTTTGACAAACGCACAGCGTGCAACCTCCTGCAGAGCCGTACAGATCGCATGTGCACCTCCTCAATGGTATCCAGTAAAGAGCAATCTCTACCCTCCTCCCGGGGAGCGACCGATACTTCCATCCACACATCTCAGTCTGTTTGGGATTGTCTCTGTAAGCAACCACACTGCGGCGCAGACGTGGCGACCGCGGTTCCAGCTCTCCCATTGCCTTCTTGGTTTCTTCCACTTTGACTTGGTCTCTGGCCTCACGCTGCAGGGTGAAACCCATCTGAAGCGTCCTCTGCGCAGCTCTCAGCCCTGCTGACTCAGCTGTCGCTGGTCCTGAGGAAACCATTCGTCAGGCTCGTTGGGTAAGCTCCCAAGTGTGGGGCTTTCGTCCCAAGGCACCAGGAAGACACGAAGATGCAGATGGACCGTAGCCTCGGGAGCATCTCTCACCCACATCCGTCTTACCTCTTCCCAAGTCCGCACTGGGGCTGGGTACCGCACTCCGGTGTGGCAGGCGTCTAGTAAAGCAAATATTATTGATTTTCCACCTCTGTGTCTTAAGTTCTCCTCGCTCCTTCACGTGGCTGTCACCTCTTCTGTGGCTCATCACACAGGTATCCCAGCCACGAAACATTCCTTCTCCTCCTTCCGGCTTTTATCATCAGCAAAGCTTCGGTCCCCTGCTTTCATTTAGTAGTATTCAGCTCCACATAGCCTCATAAATTTCACTTATTTCAATAAACGTATATTCTCCATGGGTGTAGTGGTTTGTTTTTGTTTTTCTGGTTTTTGTTGTTATTTAGAGACAGGGTTTTCCTGTGGCTTTGGAGCCTGTCCTGGAACTTGCTCTTGTAGACCAGGCTGGTCTCGAACTCATAGAGATCCACCTGCCCCTGCTTCCCGAGTGCTGGGATTAAAGGTTTGTGCCACCAACACCTGGCCAGGTGTAGTGATTTTTAAACTAATTTATCAACTATGTTTCTAGTGCCTACAACACTAAATAAACTATTCACTACACAGTGGGTGCTCAGAAAACATACACTGAATAAATTAAATGTTCAACTTTCTTCCATACAAGCACAGAATAAGGGACGCAGAAATATGAAGAGAGCCCCTGAGAAATTAAGTGGCCTTCAAATTTCAACAGTAGTGAATTTGAACAGTGGCTTTGAGATAAGGCCACGTGGATGCACTGTGGATGCTCACTGCACACTCACCATGAGGGTTCCTGGAAGCCCTGATGAGCATGAGAAGCCTGAGGTAGTAAAATAGTACAAACAGGGGAATACACCAGCGCATTCATGAAGAAAGTGAGATTCCTGTTACCTGGACACTGGATAAAGGACCACTCGTAGTTCTTTTCTTTGGGGCACAGACTGGGGTCGAGGGTCACCTCGCTGCCGTGTACTCCGCCAAGCCTCATCGGTCCCCGTGAGGACCCCTCAGTGCAGTACCCTCTCCCTGTATCACTGGGGTCATTGCACCAGCCGCATCCAGGCTGCTCCAAGCACTGTCCACAGGTCCTTAAGCCAGAGCAATTTTGAGCTGCATGACAGAAGCATTAAAAGCAAAATGATTTCATAACCTAGCAGAATTGCATGCTTCAGAAAAATGTTGTACGAGGGAAGACATTAAAATGCCATCTGTGCTAATAGGAATATTTTGCATAAATACCTAGCAGATAAGAACAATTCATCATACACATGTATATATGCACAAATAAATATATACACGTGTATACATAATACACGTCTTGAACAAACAGAAGATGAATTGAATTGCATGTTAAAAGGCAAAACAACAAAACACGGTAACCATAACACAGAAAAACATGAAGGCAGGACTTAAAGATGGCTGAGTATCTTGCCATAACAGGGCATCGAGGAACTAACCCTGATGCCTGGTAAACAAGAGAGGCTCAACAGCAAAATGTCAGATTCACGCATTCACTGAGGATCTAATTTGCTGCCAGATGTTTGGAGGCCAAGAACCTTGGAGACTGGGTTTTACAAAGTACTAGATAAGAACGTGTCAAATCATATTAAAAAATAAAATACAACATTCATTTATCTAACTTTCTAGACAGGTAACACATAGGCATGAGTGCTTTCTTTTCCAAAGTTGTATCTTCCAGGGCCCTTGGAACACACGGCTCTAAGGAGAATGTCTCCATCAAAGCCCTCCCTCAGAGCTCAGGGGATCTCGCTGAGGAGGAGGTGGGAAGAGTAAGAGCCAGAGGGGATGGAGGACACCAGGAGAACAAGGCCCTCTGGATCAATAAACAGCGCATTTGAGCTCACAGAGACTGAAGCAGCAAGCACAGGCCTACACGGGTGAGCACCAGCTCCTCTGCATATATTTTACAGCAATTAACGTAGTGTTTTTATGGGACTCCTGACCGTGAGAATGAGTGTCTCTGACTCTCATGCCTGCTTTGGGGGCTCTTTCCCTCCTGTTGGGTTACCACGCCCAGCTTTGATGGGGTAGCCTTTGCTTCATCTTTTTACAACTTATTTTGTCATGTTTGGCTGTTACCTCTTAGAAGCCTGTTCTTTTCTACTGGGAGGCAGAAGGGAATGAATTTAGTGGGGAGGAGAGGTGGGAAGGAAGTGAGAGGAGTAGACGATGGGGGAAGTGTACCAGGATATATTTAAGAGAAAAGAAACTACTTTAATAAAAGGGGGAAGTTACATCGTGCCAGTGCTCAGTGATAAGTGTCAATCCCCTTAACAGACTCTTTGGAACTGAACATTTCCTGTATTTCTACGATTGTGTGTAGTTCGTGTATTGGTTGACAGTTGTGATGAGTGTCTTGAAAACTGTATTGGCTTACTATGAAGACAATGAGAAATGACAAAACCTCTTACACGGGTACAATTATGTACTGTGATACTGCAATCAAAACTGTCATGTGATGACATGAAACCGACTGGCTCACACCACAGGAAGTTCACACTGCCTAACGGACTTGATTCTAAACGTACTCCCTAGAAAAAGAAACTACCTCAAAAGTATCTTTTTAGGGAAATATAAATAAGATGTCCTTAAGATATTTTTTGATCAACTAAACTGTCCTCAGTACATCATTCCTACTAAGACTTTCTAGTAGGGGATACGAGTCAACTTAAAACGTAAGAGCTGGTTAGTAATAAGCCTGAGCTATGTGGCTGCCAGGACACAGAAAACTCCAAAGGCAGTGCTACATTTCCTACACTTAATGGACAGTAATGTTGGTGGGAAAAAAAAATGGTTTTGTATTTAGGAGTTTTTGAAAGCTGTGTTATTAAATACTCAATAAGACTTACTAATTGTACCAGAGTTTTTTCATCAGTAAATTCATCAAATTTTAAAAATAACTACCTTCCACAGCTGACCAGAAAAGAACAGTTTTCTTTTGGAAAACAAAGTCCTGGTCAGATTCCCAGCATTCGGGATGTGGGGAGGTCTTAATAACAACGATGTCAGTATTTAGAATCCTTACTAAAGATTTCTGCTGGAAACACAGCTCACTGGCAAACTGCTACTCACTGAGCATGGGGGCTCAGGTATCCCTAGTATCACAAAAGAAACCAAATGAGTAATTAATTATGCATATTCATGAAATCTCCAAAATAGTGACAGACTTCTGAGATGTATGGCATAAGCTCGGATTTCTGTTCTAGTTTTACAACATTATTTTAATCTTAGCTTATTGAAATTTCTATATGTTAAGAAATAAATCTATTATTCCTCTAAGCAATGCCTTTTGCATTTATAAAACATCCAACTACTAAAAATGTATTAATTATGAATTATGTAATTATTTTTAAGGGGTTCAGGGAGAACAGTACTGCCTTCTTTCCTGCCCTGGCTTCTCGCTGGAAAACACAGATATCTATGCTACAACCGCCATTGTTCACGGAAACCAGACTAACAGTGTCCTCGGGCTCCGCTGTGGACTGCAGATCAGTGTCTCTAGGAATCTTCTCGGCCTTCAACACTCAGTCAGTGCTGCTGAGGCATCTAACTTCTGCACTGAGCACCTATAGTGTTGTAAGCCTCCTGGAAATGCGGCCCACCGCGGCGGGACTACCCAGGTGCAATGGGTTCTAAGTCACCCAAGTAAACACTCCCTTCTATGAAGTTAGTCTCTTGGTCCCATTCTCCAGAGAAGCCACCTAATACAATCTCTAATCTCCCCGGCTGTTATCTACTAGCCATGCGCACGAGAACACTGTGACCACGTACAGATGCATCCCGTAACAATTCAGGGTGCAGCTTACACAGCGACAGTGCAGTCTTGAAAAGATGCCTACGCTAAGCTCATGTTGAAGAAATAATTAGGCAAACGGAGACCCCTATAAAAACAACTGCTGTCAGTTCCTCAGGCGCGTCAGCCACGTGAGAAGAAAAAGAAAATAGTGGGATGAAAGGTGTGCCCGGGAGTCGTTAAAGACGACCAAACGCCCGCCCGCAAGGGATGCACTGTCTGTCTGTACACCACACTCGGAGTCCAGAGGCTGGGTCACACACAGAGGTCAACATCACAATGAATCCAAGATGACGGCGGCACACTGAAAATCAGAGGCTAACAGCACAGATACATTTCAGACTTCTCCACGACAGTACTTTTCTCCATGGTCTTCAATGCCCCCGAAAGTTAGTTTTCTCTCCCCTGGTACTCACGGGAGCAGGTGGCGGTCTGCCACTCCAGACACTGCCCGTATGGGAAAGAGATGATGTACGCGTTGGAGTCCACACACCGCTGGGTGCTGCTACACCACATGCACTCCATAGCATTGCTTGTGCAGTTGGAACACGAGGTCCTCAGGGAGCACGGCTTCTTGCACGGTCTTGCATTTTGATTCGGACTGACTGCAATAAGCCATAACTGCAATTACTTCATTTCGTAGCTTCGTTTCTTTAAACTAATCTCTATTTTTAATTATGTGAACGGGTGTTCTGCCACATGCATGGATGCCACCACAGACATGCCTGGTGCCCACAGAGGGCAGATGAAAGGGGGGGGCATCAGATTACCCCGGAACTGACATAGGATATGGAGACAAGCTGCCTGCCGTGTGAGCTCTGAGAATCAAACCCACGTCCTCTGGAAGAGCAGCCAGTGCTCTTATCCACTCAGTCACCTCTTCAGGCCCCTGGCAATTGCATTTTAACACAAATGCTTGTTTTTGTCTGGTTTTTTTTTTTAAAGGGTTCAGTTGAACAGACTGAAGCATTATAACATGAGGAAATGGATAAAAAGTTGGTATTGGTACTAATTTAGTTCTGAATTTGAAAACACATAATTCCTTCATTTTTTTTTTAAATTCTTTACAAAGTGTAAGGTGCACACTTCTTAAAACTTCAATCAACTTTGTTTGTAGTCTGAGAGCGGCTCTTTCTATTGTCTCAACAGTGCAAAGAGAGATTTACTTTCCCAGTCACAAGTGTCTCCATAAAATCTTATTTAAGTAAATGTCCTGTGACTGTCTCCTCAGTACGAACAAGGGGAAACATACAACTTACAATAACATTATAATACGAAAACACAGCACTTATCATACACATCAAGATGATGAGCATTTTCAAAAACAAAACTACAAAAAGAAATAACAATTATCGGCAAGGATGTTGAAAAATTTGAAAGTACATTGGCAGCAGGAATGTACAGTTGTATACTTGCTGTGGGAAAGAAAAAATAGATCTTTGGGATATTAAACCTAGAATTTTTATATGATAATAAAATCTACATTCACTGTATCACAGCCCAACCACAGCACCTTGCTCTAAGCGGCCAGAAAGTGGAGATATTTGTATGCTCACCTTCATAACAACTTCTCTAAAGAGCTAAAATTAACCGAAGCATCCACCAGAGGATGAAAAGATAAAATGTGACCTATAAATACATTAGACTATTCTCGGGCATGAGCAGGTTTGAGCACACATGGATAAGCTCTGAAGGCATTGCACTAAGGGAACAACGAAATCTCAGAAGTATAAAGTGGCATGACTCCAGAACGTGAGGTATCCGAAGGATCAAATCATAGAAATGGTGAAATGGTGTTTCTCAGGGGTCGCAAAGAGGAAGAAATGTTTTGTTTAAAACACGGAGAGTTATGCCAGTTGGTGGTGGCACACACCTTTAATCCCAGCAGGATTAGGTTCCAGGACAGCCAGCACTGTACAGACAAACCCTGCCTCGAAACACCGGAATTTTAATTTTGCCAGATAAACTAAGTTTTACATAATTAGTAGTGATGGCTGTAAAAAATGGGACACACTTAATGCCACAAACCTGTACACTCACAATTGGTTAAAACAGTAAATTTTCATAAAATGTATATAACCACAATGAAATAAAATTCTTTAATAAGGAAAATCATTCAAATATTTATTTTCCATGCAACAAAATCAATTTCAAAAGAAGTAACAAGAGTATATTTTAGAAACAATACAGCTGTAAAATTAAAAATTATCCAGTCACTAATCTTTAAAAACAAATCTTCCCTTCGAAACATACTATGATAAAAGCAAAAGATTAACCAACTAAGAGGACATTGCTAAACTATAACCATAGCCACGTGTCCGTAATAACACGGTAGCAATCAAGAAAGGAAGATTATACAAACACCTCAGTGGGTGGAGAGAAGGCTCAGCAGCTAAGAGCACTTGATGTTCTTGCAGAAAATCAGGATGATTCCAGAACCCACACAGAGGCTCACAACCGTCTGGTCACACCCAGTTCCAGGGGATGTGACCCCTCCCTTCTGATCTCCACAGGCACCAGGTATGCACACGGTACACATACATATATGTAAGCAAGACATTCATACACACAGAGTAGAGTAAATAAACCCTTAGAATTTTTGTCAAAGAATAAGTAAAATTTAAGAAATTATATAAGAATAAATCATTACAAGTAAATGCTAAGATCAATTTAAAAAAAAAACAACTTGGGTGTATTAAAAAAAAAAAATTACTATCCTGAGATAGATTTAGCCAGGGACTGGCTGAAACCAGTCCCTGCCCTCTAGAAAGAACGGTTGGGCAGCGTGCTAAAGCAAACACAGAAACACTTGTTCACGCTACTCACCAACGGGTTTTTCACAGACGAGGCCATCTGCCATAGACGTGCAAGGATTTGCTTTTAGTCCCGCCACCGCAGCCCTTTCTAGATAAGCACAGAATCCAGAATCATTCGGTTCACCGGGAAGCCACTGTAGCGTCGTGTTTGTAAAGGGGGACATGTCCTCCCATCCCCAGTAGGAGACGTTGATCTTGCGCAAGCCTACCCAAGGTGACACTTTCTACAAACAACGGGACATTGGCAGTGGTTAGAAGTGGAACTGCTACATGGTCCCTCTCAACAAGTAGTCACCGTCATATCACTACGTGCTGTGTTTGAGGGTACAGAAAGCTACCTTTCTAACCGCCTTTACTTCCAGTAACAACCTCAGTGTGACCTGGGGGATGGCAGAGACCACAGGGCTGGTTTGGAAGCACTAGGCTTTGAGCTTAGCTACAGGGTTGACTGATTTTTGTTCCCTTGCTCACTTTTTTCCCTTCGATAAAATGGGGACAGAGAGTGCTTTTAACGCCAGCATCCAGGAGGCAAAGAGCCTGACCTTCACAGAGAGGCTAGCCAGGCCAGCCAGGGCTCTACCGTAAAATCCTATCTCAAATAAACAAATAACTAAATAAGACACCAACTGAAGGGGGGGATGTAAATGTTCAACTCACTACTACTGCTATAATTAATACTATCAGGTATGTGGCTTCATCAGTTATGGATTTAGGGACCTGCAGATAAATCTAGTCTCTGCACTGTACACAACGGAAAACAAAATTAACAGATCAGTATGAATTCTGAGTGAAATATCAATTAATAAACAAGGGTCTTAGAATAGAAATTATTTTATACTATCTAGCATAATGCTAAGAGAGAGGTGGGGTTAACGGTCTTCTAATTGTAAAATCATACATGCTACTTCATATTAGAATTATTATTATGTTTTACACATTTATTCGGAGAGATGTTTTTATAACAAAAGGCTGCCTTTTAAATCGTGCTTTATAATAACACTAGTCAGATAATAAATCCAACAGAGAAATTCACATTAAAATGTGTTTCGTGTCACTGCTATTCCCCCTACGCTTCCTATCTATGGGGGGAAAGTCATTTAAAATGAAATATTACTGCCTAACTCATCATGATAAGAATCTGAATAAAAACGAAGAGGAAAAAAATGAAGCCAGTGATAAAACATTTAAAGTAACTATTACTCAGTAAATGAGCCAGACAGGCAGTTGAAAATGGAAGATAAATTACTGTATTATGAAAATGTACTGCACTACACCATAAATCACTGCAACATTTCATTAGCCATTTCCGATAAGTAAGTGATCATTTGACCCAAGATATTTCTCTACAGTGAATGAATTTGTCGATCTCTACTGCCCAAAGAAGGTTATCGTAAGCCTGCAATGACTCACGATATAATTCACTGTATGTAGGGATATGCCTAATGAAACGTCACCTTGAAGAAGTTTTCACTTTGAAATCCTGAGAAAAGTTGCTTCTGATAAAACCGAACATCATTTTTATGATGTGACTCAGCAACCCAGCAAGACTGAGTCTATCATCCACTCTACAGATTACAATAACTGAGTCTATCATCCACTCCTTACAGATTATAATAACTAAGTCTATCATCCACTCCGTACAGATTATAATAACTGAGTCTGTCATCCACTGTACAGATTATAATGACTGAGTCTAACATCCACTCCTTACAGGTTATAATAACTGAGTTTATCATTCACTCCGTACAGATTATAATAACTGAGTTTATAATCCACTCCTTATGGAGTATAATAATAGGCAACAGAAATTAGCAGCTACAAGAAGTCTTAAAATATAGAAATCTAATGACCAGACTTGCAGAGATTTTTGTAACTGCCAAAAATAACCGATGCTAAACACCGGAAAATCAACAGCGCTTTGAGGACAAATCCTAACATTTTTAAAATTCAAAAACATTGAGTGTGCAAATCAAAGGCTTATGATGTTACAGGATTTCAGTAGCACTAATTTTCACATGCTGAGTGGTAAATTGTCAAGTACATATATACAAAAGAGAAGTCTCCTAACATCATACACACACACACATACACACACACACACACACACACATACACACACACACATACACACACACATACACACACACACACATACACACACACATACACACACACACACATACACACACATACACACACACACATACACACACACACATACACACACACACACATACACACACATACACACACACACATACACACACACATACACACACATACACACACACACATACACACACACACACATACACACACACATACACACACACACATACACACACACACACACATACACACATACACACACATACACACACACACACATACACACACATACACACACACACACACACACACACACATACACACAGATCTCATCTGTATGTTCCATATATTTACAATAAAACCTCACTTTAAAAAAATGTTACATTTTCCTAAAGCATAAAGAACAAAAGACCTCCCCAACCCACTACCACATACATTGCACACATCACCCATTATGCTGGAAGCTCTTACAGACAAATTGAGAATGAACTGTAGGGATTTCCTGATAAATAGCTCAAAGTCCGTTGAGTGCTGGCTAAGACATTTCTCCAGGACCGTTCGACAAGCTCATGCTATGACTAGCTGCCCATCTTGTCTACGCAAAGCACCCCGAGTGCATCCATAATTGCAATTACCACCCTCAAGAACAACTCTTCTTGTCTCTCTCTCAACATCACTGTCGGAGGAGAGCACCTCAGAGCATCTCGGCGTTCTCACACAGCAGTAGAATACTGAGTAATTAGCGGCTTCCATTCGTGTGTAATAAGTAAATATCTGTCCATCCTTCAGCTTACAAGGCAAAAAGAATAAATCATTTCTGCAGATCAGGGATCACCCTGCCCATCACCTGAAGACATTCTGTACAGCCATCACCTGAAGAGTCCCAGGCAAGGCTTACCTGCTGTGTGTACTTCTGTATTTCATCCAACACAAATTCTACCTCCTTAGAAGTTGTTAGAGAAGCGAGATTTCCACTGAGGTTATAGCAATAAAGCTTCGCGTTGTCATAACTTTCTCTACTGGCATTGATTCGAAGACAAGCATCCCCAACATGATTCCATCCTTCTCCACAAAGGTGAGCTACGTAAAGAAAAGGAATTGCACCTTACTTTTACACTACAAAGGAAGTACAGCACTTTATCAATTATTTCAAAATTATGTATGACCATTGTGTTCATTTAAAATTTTTAAATAGAACATTTCAAAATTTCTAATATCCCAAATAAAGTTAATAAAATAGTTTGCTGAAGAGTAAACACAATATCCTAATTCTTTCCCAAATTCCTTTGTGTGTTCTGTTGAGATGGGCTTGATATGTAGATCAGGCTGGCCTTGAACTCATGGATATCCATCTGCTTGTGTCTCCCTAATACTGGGATTAATGCAAGCACCACAATGCCTGGCCTTTCCTGAATTCTTAAACAACATAGGCTTCAGCTCTTCAACACCTGTTATCTACATTGTCCCCAAAGATTCCTGTGTAGTGGGGCTTCGGCATACGACCTCTCAAGAAATAAAATTACTGCTGTAATTGTCTAATTCCAGGCTACAAAAAATCAGATTACTATTTTAATTATTCAAAATTATTTTAAACGTAAGTATATTTTTATCATATTCTCCTCCCCAAGCCCTGCCAGGTCCTCTCCTCTCTGACCATCCAACTTTAGTTTCCCCCAAAACCAAGAAAACAAAGAGAAGACCTACCCAAAAGGAAAAACAAAACAACAAGCAAAAACCCACCAAACTGTAACCAAATAAAAGTGTGCACACGCACACACACATGCACACACATGAATGCATGCACACACATGCATGCACATGCATGCACACACACGCATACACACATGCACATACACATGCACACATACATGCACACACGTGTGCATGTCTGCACACACACATACGCACACAGACACATGCATGCATGCACGCACGCACATGCACACACGTGCACACACATGCATGCACACACGTGGGCATGTATGCACACACACACATACACACATACATACACACACACTCACAGTACTGAGAGGTTCACCGAACATGATTAAGGCAGGACTTCTCAACTGTGGTCTTTAACTTTGAAAATTATGAGGGCCACCTTGACCTTTCTTGTTCCTCCAGTACAGCATTGACTTAATCGTTTTAAAAATAAATGTATTGACTTAGAATAATAAATTGTAGTCCCACTACAGAGGAAGTTCTGTAGGCATTAGGAGGACATTGCCACTTTACCTAAGTAAACCTATTGGAGATGTCTCCAAACCACTGAGAGCCTCTGACAATTCAAGTGAGGTCCCCGACGTACAAAAGCTAAGATGGGCTAATGAATGCATGGACACAGGGGACAGAGTGATGGACACAGGGGACAGAGTGATGGACACAGGGGACAGGGTGATGGACACAGGGGACAGAGTGATGAACACAGGGGACAGAGTGATGGGCACAGGGGACAGAGTGATGGACACAGGGGACAGAGTGATGGACACAGGGGACAGAGTGATGGACACAGGGGACAGGGTGAGTGTGGACAGGGTGAGTGTGGACAGGGGACAGGGTGAGTGTGGACAGGGTGAGTGTGGACAGGGGACAGAGTGAGTGTGGACAGGGTGAGTGTGGACAGGGGACAGGGTGAGTGTGGACAGGGTGAGTGTGGACAGGGGACAGAGTGAGTGTGGACAGGGGTCAGGGTGAGTGTGGACAGGGGACAGAGTGAGTGTGGACAGGGGACAGGGTGAGTGTGGACAGGGACAGGGTGATTGGATGGACACACGGGACAGGCCACCAGTTTTAAAGATGATATGGAAGAGGTGTATTTGTAGCTCCTTCCGAGTGGGACTTGGGTGTCCTCGACATTTTTCCATGCCCTACATCCTTAAATTGGGGTGGAAGAAAACTTGATATAACGGGATTTATTTTTATTACATAAATCGAATTAGAAACAACCTAGTCGTGTGGGTTTGTTTTGCCTTTTTACAAACTTCTTTAATTTCAGACATGCAGTGTATTTTCACAACTGCTTCTACATTCAATCAAATGAGAGAATGTGTGCTACTGAACAAGGCTTCCTACACCACATTCTCCTGTTGCCTTACAGACAGGAGACCATATCCTGCCGCCCGGGGCCATTGCCTTTCCTGCTGTTACGGACTCACACCCTCTGGAACCATAAGACAAAATAAACCCTCTCTTCCTCAAGTGGCTTTTAATCACGGGTTTCAAGTAACTGATACAAGTCCCTTTAGCTTAGACAAAATTTACATGGCCCTACATGCATGGGTATAGGAAATAGGTCTATACATTAAACAGTTGCTGATAATAAATCAAAACAAAATTTTATTTTTAAAAATTTGCTATAATGTTGCCATTTATCAAAGGCAAAAACAAAGGTTCGTACTAATGAGACAGACAGTTGGTTATTTTCACATAAAGAATTAAATCGTAACTCAACACCTGATACTTTGGGACAGACTATTTTCAACGTTTTCAGCACTAACAGCCATTTTAAACATCATTGTTGAGAACACTATTTCTCACAATTATGTAGAACGAAAGGGCAGAGACAAATTCTGTCCTAAACGCTATCAAAATTACTTTAAAATCTTTTATGAAAAGCCAGCTGAAGTCATATAGTAATTTTTAAATGAAGCCATCATACACAATGCAATGCAAAAAAATTAATTTAAAATTCACATGCTGAGAAATTAAAATGGCCAAATACTCAAAAGACTGTAATTAAATCATTATGCTTCTATAAGAACATATAAAACGCTGTATGTAGACTACAAACAATGTAGTCCAAGTGTCTCATGAAGAATCCCTGGTGTCACATGCTAGCATATATAGGCAGAGTAACCATAATTGCATTCTGAACTCAGGCTGCTGTGAAGTCACACGATTCAATAAAGATGTTGCAAAATATTTCAGATTCATTATGCATTTGTTTTCCAACTAATTTCGGTTGCTGAGTACTCAAAACAACTTTTATTATTGCCAAATTTTCTAAACCACCTTACATCCAGTGTGACCCAACATGGAGTGGTGAACCAGAGTTTAAGAGGGTAGATTCATAGCCCATGAAAAGACCACAGTAGATGGACTCAACAGGGAAGAGGGAACACAGGTACAGTCATTAAGGAAAACTGTGTAAAGCTCTTCAAAAGCCTTGGAGAATCCAGCTACACCAGTCTTGGGAACTCTACATCCTGCTCAAGAAATATCCACTCATCCGTGTTCACTGCTGCTCTATTCAATGTCCAGTCGAGGGAAACAGCCTAGACGCTCACCTACTGATGTCTGGGTAATGAAAATGTGGTATGCTGACACTATGGCATATTATTCATCTACTGAGAAAGGCGAAAGTCACAAGTAAACGGATGGAGCTTGAAACAGTAGTTTTGAATGAGGTCAGCCAATCCCAGAAAGACAAATGTTGCATGTTTCTCCTATTTGTGGATGTTAGCTTTGAATCTTTAGGTGTATGGGCTCCTTAAGGAATTCACACAGAGGTCAGGAGTTGCTAAGGAGCCATGAAGAGGGGCCTTCAATAGAGGAGAGACAGTGTTATACAAGATTTAAAGAGAAAAATGGAACAGGACGGGTTTAACTGGGGTGGGAGGGTGAAGGGTAGAGTAGAGGAGGTAGTTTGGGGAGAGATAAATAACACTAAAAACCTTTTTAAAAAAGTCATGAAAACTGCTGCCATAGAAGCTCTCTCTCTCTCTCTGTCTCTCTGTCTCTCTCTCTGTCTCTCTCTCTCTCTCTCACACACACACACATAAAATGAAGTTACCCTTAAGTGGGGTAACAATGTCCCTACCATATACCAAAAGCTAATAAATGAAAAGCCCAGTGTCAGAAACGGTTGCTTCTTTTGGAGTTGTTGACCAGTGGGGTCTGACAGACGCCCAAACAATGTAGGTATTGCCATTGCTCTTTACTATGCTCCAGATCAGGGCAGTAAGACCCTACGGCTGAAGATGCCACATACCTGAGTCATATAAATCGTGGGGAACACACCTTACTGCTTAGCTTTCATTCGTCCAAGCTCTGGCATGTGCTGTGAACACTTGCAGAGGAAGAAGTAATCATCGGCTGTACCCAACTGTGAATTCTGAGTTACAATAATGTCTGTCTCAGCACAAGGCGCACTGGTTCAATAGTGAGCATGACTGTCACAGGAATGACCAATCATGTCCTTGTTGGATCTATGTCCTACTCCACAAGACCTACGCACACATGTCATGGGCCCTAGGGGAGAACCATTACTATTATTTTGCTAAGTGGACAGGTCATTAAACTGACTCCTAATGACTTCTCCGTCTACCCAAAGATGATGATATAATAGTCTGTAGAGTGAAAACCTCATTTCTCAAATCGTGAAATATTTACCTGGCAAACCCTGGCATTCTTGCTGACGCTGATCCCACTGACAATTCAGGGTTAGTGAACAGCTTTTACAGCTTGTAAGTTTGTTACAAAGCTGATCATTTCTTACATGGCATTTCGTGTAGTTTCTGACAGACTAGAAAATTGAAAGACAAAACATGTTAGTTTTTACAATCGAACAAACAAGGATTCTTAAACATCACAAAATGTTAGGCCCCTGTTGAACTTTAAAATGTTTCTATCTCCAAACCCAATTCTATTGAATCATAACTTCCCTTAATTATTGCATTAGTGTTGAGTTAAATCTACTAGTTGTCTTAAGTCTACTATTCCACATAGTAAACTGCAATATAACTTAGCATGTAAGCAATATATCCTGATAAGAGTATTCTTTAACAGATATTAGGACTGAGGCAACCTCAGCATGCCGATGAGAAGACCATGTCCATATAAGGCAAATGCCACCACAACAAACTAAGCTTGCACTTTTGTTATGGCTCTTAACATTTATTTGTTTTGCTTATCTGTCTTTGATTTGGTCTTAGGGAAAATTGGAAGGAGTTCCCTGAGTCTCCAGTGGTTCACGGTGCTATACAATTTATGAGTCGTTCTTTGCTTAAATGAACTCTACTGGTTTTTGTTTCCCTGTATTTTTATTTTTCACTTAAGGTGGAAAACTTGTTTTTAGAATTATAATGAGTTCCTAAAATTGGAGACTACTGAGAAAATTATGCAGTTTCAAATTTGAAAGAGAAAACTTTTTTGTTAATCTGAAAATGAATCTCTAATTAAGTGAATGCATGAATTCACTTCTTAGTAACACGAAAATTTTCTAGTCCTAATGAAACTATCACAAAAATGAAGTTGAAATAAGTAATAAAACAATCTCAAGTCTACTACAATATGAAAAAAGAAATTATAATCATAATGACTTAAAATAATAATGGGTGTAACTACTTAATGTCTCTCTGTGGGTGTTATACTTTCTTCATAGAGGCTATAAAGAAAATTGCAATATTACATTATTTTCGATCTTACAACACCATAAAAGCATATTTCTACTAATTCTGGCAATGAAAAGTTGAAGGGTGGGGATCAATAATGAAAAGTAGGAGGTCATATGGCAATCCTTGTATCATTCCTCGTGTACACCTATGTTCAGCTAGCTCCTTCATAACAAAATATCACCACTATTTGATTAAAAGCTATGTCATGAATACAGACTTCACAGCTGGGGGCCTGGGACATTCAGTGACTGAATGCATGTAAGGGACTAACTAAACATCTGAGCAACACACTCAATCTTGTTAGTGTCTATACAGAGAACTGCTTATATGCGACCTTCTTCTATAGGACAGGTAAATACTAATTTCCAGCTACTAATGCTAAAAGTTAATAAATTAAGATACAACTCTCTCGTATTAACTATTGTAAACAAATATATTTAGGTAGTTTAATGAGCATGCACCAAATATTTATTGTTAAATATTATACTTCCTTTATAAAATGCATTACCATTTTATAAGAGACTGTTCAGTGGGCACAGGCGCTCACTACAAAGTCTGACAACCTTAGCTCAACCCTCAGAACTCAGAGAAGAAAAGAGCAGATTCTGCACATTGTCCTCTGACCTTCACACACAAGCACATACATGCACACACATGAACACACACACACACACACACACACACGCATACCCAGAAGCACACAAGCATTTTTTTTAGGATTTTTACTCCATGGATCAAACACCAAGGCCAAGAGCATCTTGGGAAAGAACCCACCTCCCCCCATCACGGTCCATGAGCACAGGAAGTCAGAGCAGGAACCTGGCGGCAGGAGCAGGAACAGAGGCCATCAAGGAAGACGCTTACTGGCTTGTTCCTCGTGGCTTGCTCAACCTGTTTTCATACAGTGCCCAGACCAACCAGCCCAGAAGCGGGAGCACCCACAGTGAGCAGGACCTTCGCACACCCACCGTCATTCATGAAAACACACCACAGGCTTTCCCACAAGCCATTCTGGTAGGGACATTCTTTCACCTGAGGCTCCCTCTTACAAAACGACACCAGCTTGCATGTTTGTATGTGGTCATGTATATGTGTGTGCGCGTTCATGTTTGTGTGTGTGCATGTGTATGCAAGTGTATGTGTGCATCATGTATGAATGTGTGTGTGTGCATGTGTGTATGTGGTCATGTGTGTGCGCGTTTGCATGCATGTATGTGTGTCTCTGTGTGTAGTGTGTGTGTGTGTGTGTGTATGTGTGTGCGCGTGTGTACATGCATTCTAATGTACAAGCAGAAGTGGGTGTTATGGTCAGAGGACAAACCCAGGTGCCAGCTGTTCACACTGTTGAAGGCAGAGACTCTGTTGTTCACTCTTGTGACATAAACAATCCAGAAGTCTCAGCATTGGGATTAAAGCTGCATGCTATATTGCCTGACTCTGTTTGACTTCACACGAGTTCTTGGGACTCAATTCAGGTCCAAACACCTAAACGGCAAGTGCTTTACCCACTAAGCAATTTCCTGAACCAAATATACCCACATAAAATGTTTAACGTGCTCATCTTTAAGAAAAACATTCAGACACATTTTTGTGAATTTCGTTTTTGAGTTAGTCAACCATCACATCTACTTTAGGAACAAGTAAGATGGTTTAATATCAACTTTTATTATTCAAAATATTTTATTTTCATATAGCACATAAATTCTAGTATTATTCTATATGATTATTGAGTATAGAATTAAAGCACTAGCTAACTGAACAAAGAGAAATAAATTAACTTGACTTATTGAACATATAAATCTATAAAAATGACAGAAAGACTAAACATGTTGGGAGTAGTTTAGTGTAAACTCAGAACCACAGTTAAGGTAGAGCCTACATTCGACCATTTCACGGCTCCTCACTAACAGATCATTCGCTGATGGGAATAAGAACAGGAGATGAAATTCTACTTTAATCACATACAGCACCAAGGAAATCAGTGAATGAATAAAGCTGAACACTGCTCTGAATCACAACTCACATTGTTTACCTAATGAACCAAGGGCACATTAGTAATCAGGCAATGAAGAGTAGCCATTACTGTTCCAGTCTTTGATCTATTTAGTCATGAGTTCAAAATGCAAATCCAGGAAGAGCAAACAGATTTCTGATCCATTAGAGCACAAATGCGCAACTTGAAATAAATATGGCTAAATAATGAGATAGGGTATCGCCGCACATAATTTGACTAAATTCCCCTAGAACTTTAGGTGTTCATTAGCATTTGGTTTGACTTAATCACCAGACACTCCTCCGATGAAACTGCCTAAAAACTACATTACAACAGAACTCTAAATTATGGGAGAGTACTATCTGCTCACTCATACTATGCCATCCAAGTTGTTCCTGGCTCACACATCATCAAAAATAAAATAAAGCAAAGGGAGAAGACAAATGCTTGAGAGAAATTTACGTAACTTAACTTTTCAGATGAGCTACAGTTGTGTAAACCTACACACACACACAAACTTAAATGGCTGTGGTGGTTTGAAAGAAAACGACCCCACAGAGGGCGGCACTATTGGAGGTGTGGCCTTGTTGGGGGAAATGTTGAAAGACAGTCTTCCGTGGACCGAATGTCTGTGTGCCCCAAATTCACATACTGACAAAGGCCCCAGTGTGTCCATACAGGAGAGGACCCTGGGTATGTGACTCTGCCTCATTGCGTCTCTGTGATGGAGTTTTCACGGGCAGGAGGCCACATCAGAACAAGCCAGGAGAAGAAAGGGGCTAAGAACCAGAACCCAGGTCTTTAACAAGCGTGAAAGCTGTGAGCCTGACTCTGAACTTGAAACGCCAAGTCTTCAGAACTTTGGCAAATAAATCCTTCTTTCTCATCATGCAGTGTAGTGAGATATTCACTTTGTCCGGCATCTGTGACGCTGACCACGCCCATTGGGGGGATGGAGACAGAGGCGGAAATGACCTGGGGAACTAGGTCTGAGGAGGAGCCCAGGAGCGCTCTCTTGCTGGCCAGATGCGGATATGTTTAATGAGTTGTTTCCCCCATTTTAATTATGTGATAGCCAAGTGTATGTGTCAATCTAAGTAGGACACAGGTGTGCAGAAGGCCAAGCATGTGTCAATCTTAACGGGTCACAGGTGTGCACACGGTCTGAGCGTGTCAATCTGACCAGGGCACAGGTGTGCGGAAGATCTGGCTGTCTGTGAGGATGTACAAATGACAGTAGCCTCTTCATGAGCTGACTCACATTTCCCAATGCGAGCCGACACCATCCAGTTCACTGAGAGCCGAACGACACAAACTCTTGGGACAGTGAGAATTGCTGTCTGACTGCTGAGTGGACACATTAGCTGCCCCTGCACTTGGCTAGGATTTACATGAGTGGCACCAGTGGTTCAGAGGCCACTATGTTTCCACTGAAATTCTACCACATCCCCCTATGTTCAGTTTACAGGTGACAGACAGGACATGGAGGCTTTTCTAAGCACATAAACAATCCCATACAATCCTGAGTGTGGCCCTACGGCTGTTCCTCTGAAGAACTACAGCCACAACGCCAGACATGTGTGCCTGTGTGTGCCCATGTGTGTGCCTGTGTGTGCCCATGTGTGTGTGCCTGTGTGTGTGCATGTGTGTGCCTGTGTGTGCCTGTGTGTGTGCCTGTGTGTGCATGTGTGTGCCCGTGTGTGTGTGCCTGTGTGTGTGCCTGTGTGTGCCCGTGTGTGTGCATGTGTGTGCCCATGTGTGTGCCTGTGTGTGTGCCTGTGTGTGCCCGTGTGTGTGCATGTGTGTGCCCATGTGTGTGCATGTGTGTGTGCATGTGTGTACCCGTGTGTGCCTGCGTGTTCCTGTGTGTGTGCCTGTGTGTGTGCCTGTGTGTGCGTGTGTGTGTGCCTGTGTCATACATTACTTAGTCTTGCTCTGTTTCCACTAATATAATCCCATATGTGAGTGAGTATGAATCTAAAAATATATCTAAACTTCAAATATAAACAAGTCGTGAAAAATGTTGAAACTCAAACCTTTAGTATATCTTAAGTCAATTTGCATGACTGAAAATCATATACTAATAAATATGTACAAAAACGAAACGGTTCAATGTACTAGGCCAAAAACTAAATTTTCCTGTTTTACGTTACTATTTTATAATAGACTCCCACAACCTTGGTTATTAGAGGAAATTTAAAGATGGTATTGTTGGAGGATATTTGATAACAATGTGGCCCCCAAGACTGAATTCTTCATTGGAAAAACCGGTTTCTAGGTCTGGTGTGGTTTACCCTGGCACACACCTTTAATCCCAGAGCTTTCTGCTTGGATATTATAAACAGGATTAAATAAAGTCAACCTTAGGTCAAGAAATCAGTTAACAGAAGTGAACACAGAATTAAGAAAAAGAGAGGGAGAGTAAGAGGGAGTCAGAAGGACAGATAGACACTCAGTACCTAGCAGGGAGGACACTCAGTGGGCGGAGTCTTGTCTAAGAAGAGAGAGAGGAGGAGGAAGATCAAGTGGTGATCTCTCTGAGCCAGCAGGCAGGCTTTCACCCCAGACCTCAAACAGTTGAGATCTCGTTTAAAACAACGTGATTATAGGTTAATGTTCACTGTTTCAAACCATGAATACTAATGTCATAAGTTTTAAGCCATACAATAATTGTTCTAAGAAGATTGTTGTTCTGGGCACTGGTGGTTTGGGAAGGCTGTTGTTCTGGGCACTGGTGGTTAGGGAAGGCTGTTGTTCTGGGCACTGGTGGTTTGGGAAGGCTGTTGTTCTGGGCACTGGTGGTTTGGGAAGGCCTTTCCAGGACTTTTCAGTGCTGAGCCTCTGCACAGTAAATGTGAACGGCAGCCCCACTATTGTGATAATCAAAATTGCTGCTAAAGGTTGGCTGTGAAACAAAACTGGCTTCAGTTGAGAACAAGTGATGTGATTTTAAAAATAAAGAACTAGGGTTGTCAATACTGTGGTAAAAACAACAGACAATATTGTGTGCGAACAACAGACCATCAACACACAGCTGATGTGTGTCTGACAGGAATTCCATGGGGGTAATCTATGTAATTATTATCTGTCTACGTAACCCTGATCCATCAGTAAAGAACATTTAAAGACAGCATGTAAAAATGAAAGCATACAAAGTATTGAAAAACTTTTGGTCTCATTCATGAAATACATGAGTAAAAATTACAAGTTACAAAACAGAATATAGACCAGTACTTCTGACCAATAAAGGTATATACAGGCTAACTACAATATGCTAAGATGGGAATGATTACTTATTATTATTATTATTATTATTATTATTATTATTATTATTATTATTTTGAAGAGTGTGTTAAGCCAGGGTCTCACTATGTAGCCCTGGCTGTCCTGGAACTCTCTATGTTGACCAGCTGTCTCTGAACTCAGAGATCTGCCTGCTTCTGTCTCAGTGCTGAAATTAAAGGTGTGAGTCACTAAGCACAGCCAGATTCCTATGACGTGGGATATTTGTACACTGTGTGAAAATGTGTTGCTGTGATTGCTGTAATAAAAAACTAGTGCCAAGCTTTCATAATTAATAATTAGTCTCCGTGTCATTACTTGTGAGTTGTCAGCACAAAGAACAATTGGACTACACTCACACGTTTCCTATCTCATATATGAAGTCATTCCCCCACCCCCGAACACAGTCATTCGATGACAGCGTGCAGGTGACATCTCCATCCAACCGTAAGTACTGACCATGCTGCAGTTGCTATTTGCTGAAATGCATTTCTTGTCATCACACCATTGGCAACCATTTGTGTTGGAGGTGCAGCTGGCACAGTCTGCATATCTGTAACATCTGTCATCAGGAGCAGCTGTAACATAAATAGGGAGATAAAGCATGGTACACTAAAAAGAAAATGTCAAGATTCTTAATCCACACATTTATAGCATCTACTTAAGGATCACAAAAGAAAAAAACAACAAAAAAAATCAGTAACAAAATAAGTTCTCTAGTAGTTTATAGGTCACATTTTAAATTTACTCATTCAGAAAGAAAAAAGGAATTTACCAATAGTATACATCCAAATTAAATATAATAAGTATTTGTGTTTTGTGACTATAAAAATATTTAGAGATCCAATGTGATATAGAGTACCAAAATCTGAAAATGTTTGTTAGTTGTAACACCAAAATATATTAAAGCCTGATCAACTGAAACATATAACAGTCATATAAATAATAAATTAAAAATACTGGCTGCCCATTTTTCACAAGTCTAATTATTTATTCAACACATAATAAAAAATTAAAAGCTTTTTAAAAAGCTCCATAGCATCACAATGGCCATGGCATGTATAGAGTTTGGAACTGGCAAGCGTTAATCTTACAATGTGATATTTTTATTTATGAATTCATTGCAATGAAATAATTTTTATGTCAAAAAGAAAAAAATTTAATTGTCTAATGTGGCTTTGCAGAAATTCAGGAAGAAAACAACAAATATAACATATATCACTTTTTGTTTGAAGCAAACATTTCTGAGAAATTACGTATTAACATGTAATAAAATAACTCACGTTACACATAAAATATTCCCACACCAATTTAAAAATTAAAAATAAGTGATTAACTGATTTCCAATCCAAGTATCAGACTCCATAATTAAAGCTTATATTTTTTAAATTCTAAAACAAGGAAGCTCATATAAGCAAAATCAACTCTACTTTTAAATACGCGGAGAAGGGAATGCCTCACCGGTCTTAGGGGGACACTTTGCTCTGAGAATATTATTTGCATTCCCCGTCTCCCAAGATTCACAGTGATTCTTATTCCAAACACACTTTATCCCGGGGCCAGCATTTCTACAGAGCGCTTCATCTTGGAAAGCTCTGCAGTTTGGAGGCTTGTACACAAGGACATCACTAAGGAGCACGCTAGAAAACCCACCAAAGATGTACATGGACCTAGAAAGCAACGGGAGAGAGGGAGAGCATCTTAACACAGCACGGCTGAGCGGCCTAGCGAGCTAGTCTGAAGAATTAACAGATCCAGCTACACATTCTAACACTTTATATGCCTGTGCTTGTATCCAACTGTTCCTTAGAATCATATTTGTAACATACAGTATGATGTAAACAGCCCAGGTTAATTATTGCAAAATTTCCTCAGTGATTTTTTTTCAGATAAAATCTGAAATATAGTATAAATCTGAATGTTTGATGGAAACATTAAATACCCAGACATGTTCATTATTAATGTAAGGGAAAGATCAATAATATAAGTACTACCATCTTAACAAAGAAACAATCTTTTAAGAAATACACGACAGCTATAATGTAAAAATATACAATCAAATTATAGTCATATCTAAATGTTAAGATGCACTTTGAAGTTGCTACCTAGATTTACTGTTTCTTTTATATATATACATACATACATACACAATTATATATATATAATAAATTTGGGATCTTGTTCCATGATATTGTCTGTTTTGCTTAGATGTGTTGTGTTTGACAGTGTGTCCCTGGCCAGCCTAGAACATACACCCTTCCCGGTCTTGAACTCATGATCCCTCTGTTTCAAGGTTAAGCTGTGGGGCAAAAGGCATGGATCACTCTACCGGCCACTCGGCTCAGACACAGATTTAGAAGTCAGGTACTGAGACTTCTCGTAAATGAAAATGCGGAGTAAAGACAAGTCTTCCGCATGCCCCTTGTGTAATGGAGCCCCACAATACTGAAGTGCTTAGTAGCAATGATGACGCCCGCATACCCCAAAACAGCGCAAATGTAACTATTATCTATAGACTACTATTGACATAAGAAAGTGGTTCAAATGCTTCCAGAATACTTTTTATTATTAAACAAAGAAAATCAAAACCAAACCCTATTTTCCACAATAAAACATAGGGATTTTAAGATTCACATAAATTTTATTTATTATTATTTTTGGAGTCAATTCAGGGTAGTAATGAAATTTCATTGTGGATAATTATCCATTGTATGGCAACAATAGGAGAATTGTATGTAACTGGGAAGAGGTGATAATAAATTTATAAAATCATTATTTGGAGGTAAGCATTTTAAACTACTGAATGAGCTGTAGATTACTTATTAACAAGTTCTTTTGTTTTTGTTTTTTAAGGTTTATTTATTACGTATAAAGTGTTCTGTCTCCACGTATGCCTGCAGGATAAAAGAGGACATCAGACCTCATTACAGATGGTTGTGAGCCACCCTGTGTGTGTGTGTGTGTGTGTGTGTGTGTGTGTGTGTGTGTGCTGGGAACTGAACTCAGGACCTCTGGAAGAGCAGCCAGGGCTCTTAACTCATGAGCCATCTCTCCAGCCCAACCAATTCTTGTTAATGAAACAAAAATCATACAAACTTTCTGGGTATGGTGCCTGACACTTAAAATCCCAGCACTCCGGAGAATGAGACAGGAGGATTGTCATTAGTTCCATGCTACCATGGATTACACAGCTAGACTATAGTCTAGTTATACTGGAGAGAACTCATCTCAAAAACAAATAAACCAAAATATTTGTATAAACTTAAGAGGAGACCATGATTTAATCCCATACTCCAATTTCCAAAAATTGAAGTCTCCAAATTCCAGATATTGAAGTCTAGGGAGGTCAATAATCTACAGACTGGATCACACAGGTGGTTAAGGTGTGAGTTCTCTGTGTGCAGAACAGGAGGCCAGTGTTTATCTCTTCCTTGGGTCTTTTCGCAGAGTCTCTAAGAAGAACAAAGAAGATAGACCCCACTGGGAGATTCAGTCTTATAGCACCTTAACCACGCCCATGGGCTTAGAGAGCTCAAGGCGAAAAGAAAACTTACCGGAGGATGTGGTTAACAAACCTTAGTGTACTCGGGGAAAAAAGGGGAATGAAATGTGTGTCTTAAGAAATCAGCATGAAGTGTGGAAAGAACGTGAGGACATCTGAAGATGCAAGGGCAAATGTTTTCTCTCTCTGAAAAGGAAAACATGTGCCTTTTACCCATTGATGACTACTGCAGAGTGTCCGAATCTGTTCACATCTCTATGAAGATTTGGTTTAGGTAATGTCTTCCATTCATCACAAGCTAAAAAATAAAGAAAACCGATATAAAAAAAAAAACTTTAAGAAATTCAGGAGAAATATAAAACAATCATTGACAAAATTACAGACACAATACTTAAAATCAGAAAACAAAAAAGGATGATTAATCTTCCACTACCTACAATTTAGTATCATTACTCAACCACAATACACGTTAATTAAAGATAACTCTTGAGTAAAATTCTCACCAGTAATTTAAATAAGAATTAACAAGTGAATGAATGAAATTAAGTATCATTCTCTCATGTTTGGAGATAATTTCACTGACTTGACTTTACTAAATACAGCAAAATTCACATAGTAAAACCAATGAATGCCACTGCAGGGCCCACTTATAACTGCATGAAATAAACGTAAATAAACACGCAATATTCACTGACAGAATATCCAAAGTAGAACAATCATAATGCAATATTTAAATTACTTTAATGACGTGTTCCGATTCTTTGATGTTGGAAGGACTAATTCAATGGCACAAAAACCTAGATTTAAAAACTTTTTTAAATGATAAAATTCAGTTATATAAAGAATATAGAAAGAAAAATAGCAAAAGAAAAATTATAGCATGTTTGAGAAGAGGTAGAGGGCACAGAAGCAGGGGGAGGGAGAAAGAAAGGGAAATGAATGATGTGAATACAGTTTTCATTTACACAGTGCTCAAAAAAGGTTAAAAGGAAGAAAATATACCATCTTAATACAACATTAAAATCAGCACACATAAGCACAGACTATACTCAGTGTTCAGGGCCTAGGCACAGTCTCAGGACACACTACCTTTCAACTTCTTAAACACTGTATCTAAAGGCAGGATTTGATGTTTAGTTTAAGTGTAATAAGCTTTTCAAAGTGCAATCTTAATAACCTTAGAAATCTACAAAGAACAGTAAATATAAAGTTAATTGCAAAAGTTAAATTCATAATAAATTGCAAATTTTCTATATAACTGTGCCTAAAACACAAATACTAAGTGAGTTTTAATTCAATATTCTTACTAACAGTGATCAAAGAAATTGTAAAAACCAAATCACAAAGTGAAGCTGACATACTAAAAGCAATAAAATACATCCCAGCAAGTATTTTCTGGAGTGTTCCACGGTAGGTACACCAATAGCACTATTGAGAACTCTTCAGTTTGTAAAGCTCCCAATGTGACCACACGCTTGTCTATTACTCTAAAATGAGCGAGAATAAAAATCTAACAATTTCATTTAAGTATTTTTACATGGATTGCTCCATGGAGACAGTGTCCACATTAGGACCATCAACATTCCTAAAAGTCAGTGCTCTGCATGTTACAACTGAGGTGTGTGTGTGTTCGTGGAGGGGGGGAGCCGGGCCTGTGTGTATGTGTGTATGGATGTGTGTGTCCATATGAACAGGTTGATCTGTGTGTGTGTGTGTGTGTATATAGTGTCTGTGTGTTCATGGGGGGGGAGGGTGTATGCATGTGTGTATGTATGTGTGTCTCCACATGAACAGGTCTCTGTGTCTGTGTGCATTTGTATGGATGCATGTGCTCACATGGACAGGATGGTGTGTGTGTGTGTGCATTTGTATGGATGCATGTGCTCACATGAACAGGTGTGTGTGTGTGTGTGTGTGCATTTGTATGGATGTGTGTGCTCACATGAACAGGTGTGTGTGTATGTGTGTGTGTGTGCATGTGCTTGTATGGATGCGTGTGCTCACATGGCCGTGTTGATGTGTGCAGGCAGGTTTGTTTTTTGTCCAGCTTCACACACTAGACTAACTGGCTCAGAGCTCCCAGGCTTTAGTCGCCCTGTCTACACCCTCATCTCACCTTGGCACCACTGTGATTACAGATTTCCACTGTGTGAGTTTACACGGGTTCTGGGGATTTGAACTCAGGTCCTCAGGCTTACACAAGAAGCATCTACCTACTAAGACATCATCCCATCCCTTTAGATTACATTTTTAAAATCTGTAACAAAAACTCATGCATGTAAACAGACTACCAAATGTATGTGCTATGGTTAATGTAAGAAATGTGCATAATGTGTACTTACTAAGATAAAATTTGTATAAAACCACTTTCAAAGTGATGTTTGTCTATGTAACTTAAAGCAGGCTCTGCAAGAACTCACTGGGGTTTACTGAGGAACTGCCTTGTTATAAATGAAGAATCAGATCTATGGAAGTTAAGTGACATGCATAAGGTTCATTTGACAACTTCTGTCTTTCCATAATGAGACCTATAAGTATTTGAAATAATGTGTTACAAGGATTTTAAGACATTATTTGTTTTTTGTGGAAGTGGGGGATGGCCTATACTTGGTATAAGCTCTGAATGAGAAAACTAATGAAAATGTTAGAGTCTACTAATGAATTCAGGTAGCTAGATGTCAATTATTCATCCAGTTCAATAAACATAATTTATATTGTTAATTATGTATGAAGTGCACTGAGGACAGTATTACAATACATTGAAAACACATCAATATATATATATATATATATATATATATATATATATATATCAGGACATCGAGAATAATAAACGCAATGGAGACCTTATTAAGACAGCTGTACTCCAAAAGGTGTAAGGTAAAATCCACAAAGCTTCAGAATTTCCACATTGCTAAAATATAAAAGGGTCTAATGGACAACATGCCCTCTTAGTAAAATTTAAGAGAAACAACTATGGCACCGCCACCACACCAGACCGCTCTGAACTCTGAAGACAGCAGACAGGCCATGTACCAGAAGGCAGCGACAGACGTGAGTTCTGACTAAACGCCTGGCCAAGAAGACTGACCAGCTAAGGTCCGGTCAGCACTGATAGCAGCATGCAGCTAGGTCACGTGACCCCGAAAGCCTGGTGACGTTACCGTGCAGAAGCGGTGAGGACAGACGGGATCCACACGTCCACAGCTGCGCCACCGAGCTTGGACAACTACAGACCTGTATTCCTGCTACTCTGTACAGACAGCACAGGCCAGGGACTAGCAAGCGGTCATACAATCAGAATGTGCTGTCATCAGTAAGAGGATCGGCTGGAAGATAACACGGGGATCATCAAGATCACCGGGACCCAGTTGCCTGCGTGAACAGGCAGCTCCAACCTTGTGTCACGCAACACCGCTACACCAGCCTCCCCCTCATCCTCCAACCGTAACTGCACGGTGAGTCCTGATAGAAAGAGGGAAACGCAACCACGCCAGCTTGACACTGACGTACAAACTGAGTGACTCAGCAATCGACAGCAAGTTAATAAATCTGCTCACGTGCGGTCTCCTCTGATTCTCACACAGTGAAGTCTCGATCGCTATTACTCTCTTTAGCTGCAATCTAAAGAAAACACACTGCTACAACAGCCCAGTCATTACCTCTCCATAGCCCGCTCGGGCTTAGACGAGGCAAAACAAACATCTACACAGAACTGTAGGGTTTCTTTTAAATTGAGAGAAATATACTCCACAGCAACAAAGACCAGAGTAAAACACACTCTATAGAACACGTTTGAAAAACCCATTGCTGCAAGGTACTTACTCTACAAACCAACACCAAATACACAGACGATCAAGAAATTAAAGTTACCGGTCTTGAACTTAGATCTCAGCATACTACACCACCAGAATTATTTACCAATGAGGGGAAGTGTGTGTGGGGGTGGAGAGGGCATGTGTGTGTGTGTGTGTGTGTGTGTGTGTGTGTGTGTGTAATCATTTGAAGAATTTGAGCTGAAATCCTGATATTTAATTTACCGATTATGCAGAAAACAATACACGTAAGAATACATTTGTTGGCTAACTTTTCTACAAGTGCACGTCTCTAACTTTGTAAGAATCCTGCTCCTACTCCAAAATATACTTACAATAGTTAATATTCTTGGGTCAGAGAGATACCAAGAGGTTAAGAGCACTGGCTGCTCCTCTAAAGGGTCCTGGTTCAGTTCCCAGCACACAGAGAGCAGCTCACAACTGTCTGTCACGCCCATTCCAGGGCTTCGAATGCCCTCTGCAGGCACCAGGCACATAAGGGACACAGACATATGCATGCAAGCAAAACACTCATATACATATATAACTGACCATTGCTCTGAGCACTGAGCTGTGAGTGTGGATGAAATGCAGCACTGTATGTATCAGGGCTGGAACACGGCAGATATAAAGAAAACTTCAATCTCTTCAATGTTTGTGTAACGGAAAAAAATAAATTTCCTGCTGCTGCCAAATGGTTTCCACCCACCTTAACAATTGTTGGTGATCAAAACTCCCTTAATATTCCAAATATACCCTAGTGTCGCCTTGGTAACTGCACGCCGTAACACACACTACACAGACAGTGTACGTGTACGTACAAAGTGTGTGTGAGGCCGCGCCCCGTGGCGAGCGTTAGGCAAACCTGGTTGTGTGCTTTCACAAACTGAAAGGAGGGAAGGAGAGGAAACATCAGGAAACTACAGCAGCAACTATTCCTCCCTTACCAAACACCAACGGAAAAGACAACACCGGCCAAAGATTGACCACAGGAAGAGGTGTGAACATTTGCAAACATTTTCCTGACCTCCATCCACAGTAAGAAGCTGGCTCTTTCCAGCGGCAGGCTCAGCAAGAGGGGCCACTTTCACCAAAGAGAAGCCGTGAAAATACAGGGAAACTAGGAAATACTGACAAATAAAACCTCCAGAAGACGGAATTACATTTAAGCACAAAGAGCAAGCCGGATGGAACTTCCAGAGCTTTACTGGAATGTTCCAAAAATAAGTAGATTATTTAATTTGCATATGGTTTTGTCATGAGATTACGGATGACAGAGTCATGCTCTACATGCTTCGTATACAGCACTTCATAGGGTTGCACAAAGCGTGTATGCTGTGCGTCATAAACTAGGTAAGTGATATTTAACTCCACTGTACAATAAAAGCAATTGCAGCAGTTTGTGTGTGGTGTGTGTGTGCGTGCGTATGGTGTGTGTGCATGGTGTGTGTGTGTGTTTGTGTCTATGTGTGTGTGTGAGTGTGTCTGTATGTGAGTGTGTGCTTGTGTGTGTGTGTGTGTGTGTGTGTGTAAATGTGCAGTTGAGTACTCTGTGTTGTATGTTCTCTTAAGCACTGGGCCATCTCCAGAGCCTTCAGTGAGCCACTTTTTGAAAACATGTATGTTTAGTGACTGATCTCTAATCTAATTATAGATGTCTGACAGCAGTAGTTTGAAAATCAGCAGTATATGCTGGCTAAATCTCCACCACACACACTCTGAAGACGGAGTTATATTTTCAAAGATGAATGAGTTCGCCATGTACAATTTCCAAAGGGTACCAAGACCGAAAGTGTTGAGTTTTAGAACAAAAAAAGATTAGCACTGGCATAAATTTGTTTAAAACTCATGTAACACCTCAGATGCATTTCATTTAAATGTGACAAAGAATAGTCCTTTTATGAGAAAGAAACGTGATTTTAAAATCATCTTCTATTTGGTTCATTACAATGTCTATCTTTGCTTCCAAGGGACAATAACTACTTGAAATAATTTTGTGTGTGTGTGTGTGAAAGATAATACAAAAAATATTTTCTTCATGAAAACCTTGCAACATTTGATGCTGCCAAAGAAAAGTCTAAATAAATTCATGGGAGGACTTTACTGGGAAACACATGCAAATAATCAAATAGACAGAAAGTATTTACCCAACGCTCAGTTTGGGGCTGCCTTTATGTTTTTGTGAACAGGGTCAAAAAAAAAAAAAATGTGCTGTGTTAAAACATAAAACTTCTAAACTATGCGTTTCCTCAAAGTAGACATTTGCTTCTAACGATCACGGCATTAAACTAAACTGGTAGTGTACGGGGCGTTAAGAACATGTAGTGGATCCAACCAATCAGCACGGTGTAGTCGAGCAGACAGATTCCTAGCTCTGGAATCATGGCTGCCATAGTTCCTTAGTTCTGGTGCTGTTACCGACAACTGCTTGGTTTTGTGACAGCTGAGTCAGTAATGCCGTGCCGTTAAAGAGCTTTAGGGACGTCGCAGACTCACACATACGTCCCTTCACCTCACCAGCGCCTAGAGCTAGTTAGACTCCTGATCACCCAGTCTCTCTTCCCATTTCTTTCTGAAACAACGCTTGGTTTTCGTAGCCGCCGTAAGGTGTTTTGACACACAAAAGTGAAATATAATCTTTACTACTATGGAAGGATGAGAACAGACTCTCAATATGTCACTCATCAGAAAAAAAAAAAGTTTCAATCTTATAGTTCATTAAAGCAAGCGCTGTGGAGATGGAAACTCACTTAAAAAAAATAAAATGAATGGAAAGTTCAAAATCCCACCTTGCGGATTTTAACAGGAAATGAGACATCCTGACCTTTCACTTCAAAAAATTCCACAGAAGAGTATGGATGAACAAAAAAATAAGTAAATAAAGGTCTGGTTTTCCTCCAGAAGAAGCACTCACTGAGTCACACCAGGTAAAAGAGGTCACTGCCAGCTGGACTCACTGTGGCAACCCACCTGTTTTTCTGGATCTCAGGCAAAGATTTAGGAGTTTTCTAGAAGCTGGGACCACCCCACGCTCCTCATAAGGAAGAGGCATTATTTCACAGCTAATATTGTCCGGAGTTAACCCTGAGTAATCTCACGCCCACCACAGCTCAGCATCCTTGCATACAAGAGCATCGAGATCAAAGTGCTGATTAACTTCCATCGTTCCTTCCTGTGTGGTCATGTGAAATAATGCAGCACAGCAGGCAGCGTCTCTATGACGTTAAAAACTAAATCCGTCTTACATTAATCGTCTCCCTCATTTTTACAAATCCAGTGAATAGCTTTGAATCTGATAAAGTCCTTTCTTCTCAACCATCAATAAAAGGCATTCTTACATACCGCTGAATACATCAGCTAGCTTTTAGCAATAACATGACAATTAGAGAAGCAGTATTTTCACTACAACGATGGGCTGGAGCGTTAAATGAAGTATTTTAATAAATGTACCCACTTATATACAATCAACAACGACACAGCAGGATGAACAGGCTGAATTACAGCTAGGACAAGTGAGTACCCCAACTATTTCTCATTCTCTGGCAAGGCCTTGTTTAGTTTTTTCTCTTTTTTCCTTCCCAGGTACATCCTGGATTCCTACTTTACCTCATATTTCACACCCCCTTTGAAACTTCCCTGCCAATGAGCTTCTTCCCCACACTCAGTAAATATATTCTGTGTATGTAATATAGAATATGTTTTGTTCATTTCTCCTGAATCTGGATTCCTACTGTCTTCATTTTGATAGTTTGACAGTACTGCGTCTCTATCCTTATCTGAGACACAAGAGGCCTGTACAACATTCAAATAGGAACACAACAGTCAAAAGCTTCTATCGGCCACTGAAACTGTATTTCTATTCTCCTCTTAACTCATTCCAACACATCTGCTCTCGTGGCTCTAGGCGACCACTGGGCAGACATTAGAGAAAGCCCAATTCACATCTACCACTAAACTGATCTCTGAAATGATACATACACATGCTGTTGATTAATCCACTTGAGAAAAATGTTCTGGTATTTTCCTCTTTGCAGAATCCTAACAGATACATACCTATGTCATATGCCAGGAAATCGGCAGAAAAACATTTTGCACCGTTACTCAGGGAAGTGTCATTATGGGTATTTCCTCCAAAAATAAGCATAGCTCCATTGATAAGAACTGCTGAGTGAAGGTATCTGGCAAACCCACTTTCTTTCAGAATAGTCCTACAGAATAAAATTCAAAAACGTATTACAGAGGATAGAGACTTCCCTGACTTCATAAATAAAGTATTAACTGCATATTAAAATGTTTCTGGGAACTAAGAGGGGGAAATACATACATTCTAATCACTTGTAAATAACTTCTAAGGCCCCAGGTTGCTTTCAGGGGAGAACCATATCGATAGAATTTTTAATACTAGAGCTTTACAGTTTCAATGATTTTTTTATTTGTGAAGGTATGGAAATCAGTCTACCTGAAATTACAGGACCAAAACACCATGGGGTTGCATTCATGCTAAAACTAGTAAAAAGTTAAATATAGTAAATTTAGTACAAATTACATTTGATTAAAATTGATAAGAACCTCTTAATGAGCTTTTATGCTTAATTAAAATGTATTTACAAAGGCGCAGATACTGTAAGTTAAAAACTCAATGAATTTCTGCAAGATGAGCATTAATTACCAAATAACCAGAACCCAGACAGAAACATTGCTGTTTCTACTTCAATGACCAGTTCTAATATACTTTCACACACATTGTACTTATTCGCATGCTAGTTATGTGGGTACACCCACAAGGTGAGGGATGAAATCCTCCAGGTAGGGACTGGACAGGTAGCGCAGCCGTTAGGAACACTTCTACATCAGACAGTGGCAGGGGCATCTGAGGACTCTGGCCTCACGCACACATGCATGCACTCATGCACACACACACATGCCCTCATCCCACACACATCCACGCACTCATACACACATGGATGCCGTCATGCACACATACATGCACTCATGTATACACGCATGCCCTCACGCACACACACACATGCCCTCATCCCACACACATCCACGCACTCATACACACATGGATGCCGTCATGCACACATACATGCACTCATGTATACACGCATGCACTCATGCACCCATTCACGCACTGGTGCACACACACATGCACACATGGATGCCCTCGTGCACACATATATGCATTCATGCATACATGCACTCACCCACTTAAAAAACGAATTCTCTAAAATACATTATTTTTCAGACAGTAAAATTTACATACAAAGTACTATAAATATATGCTCAGAATTATAAACTGCTGTGAATAAACCAATATATAAAGATGACTAGTGATATAGATCAATACTTTCTAACAATTCTGATAAAGACATAAACATGGTAAACATGTATAAAATAGTTTGTTCTTATATAGTCTCTAAAAACATCGATTTTTAATGTCATTTAATGCTTAAAGAATATGAGAGTGACAATACACAGTTCCACAGTCTCTCCAGGAAAAAAAAAATTAATTAATACAAAATAGTTTTAAACTCTCAGAAAATGTAAGATGTCATTAAGTACTTACTGAAGAATTATCTACTTAGTTTTGGTGAGGAAGTCAACAGTCAATCTGACCGGGTCGGCTACTCAGAACTCTAAGACAGAAAGGCCACACAGAACGCAAGGCCTGCCTGGACAGTGCAGTGAATCCTGCTTCAGAATAAAAAGCTCATAGCTCAGCGGCACCGTACCCACCTGGCATGCACAACTCCCTGAGTGTAATCTCCACTCTTCCCAAGGAAGGGAAGGGAATGGCCTACAGTACACGGAATCAGTCCCTTCCCGTCTCCCTTCCCATTATCTTTCCGCCTTCAATATGCACCAACCCAGAATGACAGATCTCTAACCTGGAGAGGCAGAGCCAGGGTAACAAGGCTGTTTCATTGCTTGGCTCCTAGCAGGTCAATGACATCTTACTAAGAGTATTGAGCTACCAGGATTCACGTTCCCCGTACTTATCCAGGGAACTCTCAGAAGTCTGAGTGATTTTCCATATTTTCCCTCAGCATAGACAGGAACTATCAACCAGGCTTATGAGGCTACAGTGGGGCCAAACAATGTTTATCCTACCTCACACAACAAAGCAGAGGTTCTATGTCAGAGACTCGAGCTTAGACCCCAGGACTCTGCACATAAAACAACAGTTCTACCCCAAGGAGAATCAGACCACAGAGCCCATGCACCTACAATTCCTGAACCGTGATACAGAGGTTCTCCAACAGGAACAGAGGTGATCAAGACAACCACCTCTAAAGCGTGTGTGTGTGTGTGTGTGTGTGTGTGTGTGTGTGTGTGTGTGTGCTTTACATATGAGGAAATCTACAAAGTTCTGATTTTAAAAGGGTTCAAGCACATGGGAAACAGAGGAAGGTAAATTTCTATTTGTCTGAGTTCAGCCTGTTCTACATAGCAACTCCTGTCCAGCCAAGTTAAACTCTAACTCAAATAATATGCAAATAAACAAATGAAATAAACTAAAATCTCAGAACAAATGGAAAGATACAACTTGTAAGTATATGTAAAGAATAATATCAAATTTCAGTTCTTACACTGATCTGAAGATTCAATTTAGTCTCAATCAAAAGTACAGGAAATTATCTAATGAACAGCAACAAACTGACTGTAAAATTCACAAATGAGGGTGAAAACTTCCGTTAGACAACGTTGGGAGCTGAAGGGATCTCTGAGCAGTTAAGAGCACTTCCTGCCTTACAGAGGACCCAGGCTCAGTTCCTAGCAGCCACACTGCAGCTCACAGCCATTTATTACTCCAGTTCCAGGTAATCCGATGCCTCTTCTGACTTCCATGGGCATTTGTGCATATGTTATACACATAAAGCCAGGCACACACTGATACAATAAACAAATGTTTAAGAGAAATACTGAAGAACTAGATTAAAGGGCTGATCACTCCTGATGCCAACATTTAATGTAATCTAGAAAACCAAACAACCCTATTACTGAAGAAAGAACACACATACCAACAGAGTGAAATACAGAGCCCAGAGACAAACACACACAAATATATCCAACTGATTTTTGTGAAAGAAGCAAAATTATTCCATAATGAAAAGATAGTACACCCAAAGAACACTACTAGAATAACTAAACATCATAAACAAAAGAGAGAAAAATAATCTAGACCCAAACTGAAGATTCTCTATTAATTGCTAACACGGTAATATTCTTGCCCTACAAGTGTGAAGACAGGAGCTCAGAGCCCCCAGAACCCATATAAAAGCCTTCAAGCGTAGTGGGCTCCCCGTCATTCCAATGCAGAGGCGTAATGTGACAGGCAATAGAGCACAGTACATGAAGCCGACCTCAGATCTCCACATGCAAGCATAAACACATGCCTGTGCAATACACACATGTGCACCCACACACATATGAACATACATGCAGGCACATATGCACACCACATACACACATTCCACTGATTAAAAAAAAACTAACCTCAAATGAATAATAAACATACATGAAGAATATGACAAACTCCAAGAAGATAACATAGGAGAAAAATCTAGGAACTGAGTTGGATGAATTTTCAGAAGCGCCAAAAAGCACAAATCATAAAGATAGGTTGATTTAGTCTTACTTACGATCAAAAGAAAAATATTGCTCAGAGAATAGAAGTACAAGCCACAGACTGCCATAAAGACATTTGCAATATAACACCTGACAAAATAATGTTTGCCCAATTATACAAAAAATAAAACCCTAAAATGGAACAGAAAATAAATTTGAGGAGCCAAATATGTGATCCGACACCTTTCCAAGGAAGGCACATGGATGCGAATGTATGAATAAACACACGCTTCACTCTGTGTGACTGGGGGAATGCACATTGGAAATGGTGAAACGCTTCTGGCTAAGACCTGACAAGGATATAGACCACTGAAAATTCCTACCTATTGATGAAAGCATGGTATCACGTATTACAATCCTAGACACTTCTAATGCACAACCAAGGAATTGTGCGTCTTACTACTCACTAGTGAGTTGAAAACGTTTGTTTACTGAAGTACCTGCGTGCAGGTATTCATAACAGTTTTACATGTAACTCACAGAATCTGGAGGCCTTTGTGATATTCTTCAATATGTAAATGGATAAGCTGTCCTATCATGCAATGGAATACAATTCAGCAAGAAAAGACACGGGATACTACACATGAAAAGACATGGGAGAACATAAAATACATATTGCTATGTGAAAAAAAAAAAAGCCAACCACACACTATACAAAAAAAGTAGAGGGTATAGTTTTACACCCGTGGTGGAAATCAGTGTGAACGCTACAAAAGGAAGAGATCTATCTTACAGCTCAGCGATACCACGTCTGGGGTACACACAAAGGAATCTACACCAACTAACTATAGGGGCAGGTACGCCTGCATCATTGCAAGCCTCTGTCACAAAGTGTGGACTCAGCCTAAGCGCGAGAGACCTGAACAAGGAAGACATGTTCGCACACGATGCGGGGCTATGCAGCCACACGGAAAATGAAATGTCATTTGCAAGGAAGCAGGCGGGGCTTAAGTTTACTTAACTAACATCACAGTAAGTAAAATGCGCCATATTCAAAAAGACAAACACCACATGTCTCTCACATGTGAAATCTAAAAATTCCATGAAAGCAACGGTAAAGTTATTAGTGATACGGACGGGAAAGGAGAGGACAGACAGCAAACAGGATCAATTACACGGCAGGCACGTGTGAAGAATCACGAAACCCCCCATTTACATACTTATTAAATCTTACTTTTAAAGGGTATTTTACTGAATTAATAATAGTTACAATAAATTAGTGAATAATCAGCTTCAAAGATCAAAGATTCTTTAAGAAACTTACAGACAACGAATCGGGCAAAAATGATCTGGTTATTCTAATAACCACTTGGTAATAAATTCAACTGTTAAAATTCTATACCTTAAAAAGTCAGCTTTAGTTCTCTCAAAAGGCTATAAACTAAAAAATACTCAGGGAAAAAACCTGATTTTATAAATGTGAACTATAGCACTAAAAAAGAATGCTCCCCAAACAAGTTTATGTTACAGCATTAACATCAAATAATTAATGCAAATAATTCAAGAGAACCATGGTCATCTCTCATATAGTAACAAAGATTTTCAAAGTGTCTCATCAAAATATTGGAAAACCAAA